CCACAGCTAAATCACAGGTGTGCTTTCTGTGAGAGAATGAATTTTCCTTCTTTTCTCCTTTCTTTACCTGTGACAAAGGAAGCACTACTCCTTTTCAGTGCCACTGTAGGATTTTTTTCCTTATTCACAACATTCCCCCCTACCTCATTCCACACATCCCAGGGAGTGTCAGACCACCGCTATGCCACTGCAGCTTCGAGTCATGCTGCTTCCTTCATCCTCTGCTGCCTGCCTGGCTGTGAAGGCATCCTAACAACTCCCACAGCCTCCGAGTGCAGCAGGATGGGCAGAGCTCCTGGCAGACCGTGCTTTCAGCTCTCGGTGCTGAAGCGGTTGACAGATGTTCGGAGGATTTCTTGTCTCTGGACCAGCACTTCATCTGTTCCAAGTTATTCAAAACACAAACAGTGGGTTGGCAGGAGTGAAATATGTTCAGAACCAGGGTGTCAAAACAGAAATATATTTTTAAAAGACAAGTGTCAAAGAAAAAAAAAAAAAAAAAAGAGGTGTTCATGCAGTTTATAGGAAGATGTACTTAAATAATTGAGATTTTCTTCTTTTAACCCCTTGGGCTCCCATCTGACATGCTGTTCCACTATGCCTATAGTGGTTTTCTTGCTTAAATACTCACAAGGGCATTTTGGGCCCTGGGTCCCTAGTTTGCTGATGGATGGATTTGCCACATTTACAAGGTGTTTGGACTACCAGCTAGCAACATAATTCAGGACTATCCTGTCAAACATATTGTTATAAAATTGAAGTGGGATCCTGCAAATGTGTTGAGTGGTACTGTTGAACAGAGTGATGGAGAAGACATTTAGTGAGAAATAAAATTATTAAAAAAATAAATAGGGAAGAGCAGGGCAGAGATAGAGAGGAGAGCATGGCAGAAGTAAAAAAAAATGGCTCAAATTTAGAGAAGAGAGGCATCTCTGCTTATTTCAATTAATAGTCAATACAGAAAGAAGAGTTTCAGGGTCCTGTAGCAGATGCAACTTGCCTGCAGCCTCCTTTGGCTGCATGTGCATAGTAAGGCATGGGTGGTAGCTGACAGCAAAATGAATCAGCACCAGAGCCCTCTGAAAAGTGCTGTGCTGCTTTGGGTGAGTTACTGCCAACAGGGTGTTAGTAACTCCAGTCGCAGATAGAAAAAGATTCCTCTGCAAAAAACAGTTCTAATAAAATTGGAAAGAAAGGATAGGAAGCAAGTGTTTAAATAGGCAATGGAAACAAAGTCCAAAAACAGAAGACAAAAGTAAAATTATTTCAATTGTGCTTTTTCTAATTTAGTGTGGTGATTACTTCAACAAAAGAGAGGAACAAAAAGATATGAAAAACCAACAGTCCAAGAATGTTGAAAGTTTTCATGTCCTATTATTTTTGGTCAGCAAAAGATCTGTCACTATTACAATAAGAATGTCAATGTCATAGGGTAATGGTATAATCCCATTATTGCTCTGAACTAATAAATCAGCGAAATGCTGCTTTGCTGGCTTTCCCCAGTTGCATAAATAATTCTTCAGCTGTTGATGCTGTTCACGTGAGTACCATCCACATAATTTTCTGTTCTCGTAATCCTTGTCATCAGGACAGTGTCATGCAGTAACATTACCCAATCTAATGATAATCTTTGATCTGCAAATTAATCTGTTCATGTGCATTATTTTAAGGACACTTTTGATGACAGTGGATGCTTGCTGTCTTACTGCTACTCTTTGTCGTGACAATGTGCTTGGTAGGAACACTTTGGGGTTTTAGAAGCTTTCTGTTCTCATGGCAAATTGTACTGATGCTCTGGCATTCTCCATTTTTGTTGAGATTTGATGTGAAACTGAAAGCTCCAAATGTACGTGCATGGTGGATTTATGAATTCTAGTTTTGAGCTTGCAGAACTTTTATAACTGTCCGGACTGTGACCTAGTGCCCATTCCTTTTTCTTCCCAATAGATAGATGTCTGTGTGACTTGTTAAAAGTGAGGGAACTGCTTTTCTTCTTATATTTGTGCAATTCTGCTTGCTTCAGCACAGCAGACCCGGACTGATATTAATGCCAATGAAGAATTGAGCAAAATCTGCCTGTTTTCAGTAGATGTTTTACATATTTCTTCTACATCAATTTTTTTTTTCATGTTAATGTAAGCATATTTTGTGAATTCTTATTCATGAAGACAGCACATAGCCAGAGAAGGTACTGCATTTTTGTCTGAAATGAAAATGATGAAATTTACCCATGGTAGATTCATAATAAATGTCAGTTTGGATCTACTTCTGTGCATTTGTGGGTGGGCGATACTTAAACATTCATACTTAGAGCATTAAAACACTTTGCAAATTATTATAGCCAAGGGCAATGCGACACCTACCTACCTACCTTGTGCAAGAATCATCGAGTGGGTAAGGAGAGGAAAGAACAGAAAAAGATAAAAAAGCCAGTTTGGGAGATCTGTATTTCACATAATTTAATCCAAACAATGATATGCCTTTATTCTCTCTAACCCCTGGGCTTAAGGTGTAATTGCTTTCTGTCATTGGAGGCATTTTGGCTTGGTGTGTTGTAAATCTGAGGGAGAGATGATCTGTGACTGGCTGTGCTGCCTGTCTGCTGGGTGACGATAGAAGCATCCTGATGCTTCCAGCTGCTCTTGCTTGTGTTGGTGGACAGTTTTTGAGGCAGACCCAGTAGGCTGAAGCCTAGATCTGAGTCCAAGCATGGAATATGAACCCATAATCCTGAGCACAGACTTTTGACATGGGAAGTCAGAAGACATGTTTGCTGTGCAAGGACACGTAGGAGAGCCCAGATACAAAACCCCTGCTCTGCCACAGACCAGAAACTGAGGGTGCTTTTAATTTCTGTCTTGACGGCCAGTAGAAAACAGCTGAAATGTCACAGCCTACACTTAAAAAGCATTCTGATTTGGGGCTTTTTTTTTTCCCTTTTCATTCGTCTTTGTTTTAGGAAGACTTCATTTTAAATTGATTTTGTTATTAGTGGATCTGCTCAGCAGCGGTGCACCTGTTACATATATTGAGAACCTGACTCCTGACTTTAGCTGGTGCAAGTGACAGTGTTTTAAATTAAGCTGTCCTCCCTGCAACTATCTTTCTTTTCTTTATCTCCCCACCCAGACATAAATAACCAGGCAGCAGAAGGCAGGTAGTGTTATAAATTGTCAGGCTACACAATTGCCTCATGTTTTGCATTCTGTTCTTTTCCCCCATTACCATCCATTTTGAACTAAAAGTTCATCCATTTCTGGTTCTGCCATGAGCAGATGTCAAATAAATTGATATTGTAGTTTTTAAAAAGTATTAAGAGTACAAATATAAATCAATACATTGATAATGCTCAACAACTACCACTGTAGCGCTTGATTACTGACATTTAAAGACCAAGGGAAGTAAAGTCTAATATAGGGAAGAGTGATTATCTCTACAGTGTCTAATTTAAAAGTTGAGCTGTTTTTTCTTGCCAGTAGGTCTATGATCTATTAGTCCTGTGTTTCCCTTATACAGTAGGTGTTCCTCTAATAAAGAGCTTGCTATTTGCTTCTCAAACGTCCATCCCAGGTCTTCACGATGGCTCTGCTAAACAGTCGCTGTCAGGAATCGTAATGAGCTTTCCAAAATGCTCAGCCAGAAATGCAAGGCATGGTGTAGGCCAGGCAGCTGACGGGGGCAGCGTTCTAGGAGAGCTTGGCTACCTCTTTGGACTTCTTCATCGTGGCATTTCGGGCTGCTTCACTCTATTCCACTGGCTGGTGCTTTGCTGTATTTCTAGTGGCACCGTAATGAGTGTAAGCTGGTTTGCATTGCAGTTCTTTCTTAAGCATGGCTCTACTGTTGTGCAGTGTACAAGGATCAGGTCTGAGTTGCAGAAATGTGCTTACATCATACCTAGAGCTTGTTGCCTCCACTGGGGCTCTGAGGGGATTGTGACTTCTCAAGGGCACTAGCTATACACTGTTTCAGCCCGTCACATGCAAAAAAGACTATTTCAGTTCTTCGCGTCAGCCCTAAGTTTTTGTCTTTATTTATTAAAACATGCAAGGGTGTGCTTCAGTTCAGCTTAGAAAATTCTTGAAAGAAAGAGACAGAGCAATATCTACTCCTGTCCAGACTGTGATGGGCATTTCTCATTCATGTCTCGGTAAGTGTAAGAAGACAAAAACTGGGTCAGGACATGCTGTTGGTCTTAAAGGCTCCCTTCCCCTGACTCAACAAGTGCCTGAGTTTGTAGGGGAAGGACACTGGGGAAAAGGTAGGTGGAGATTGTTTTTTGATTTTTGTGTTTAGTTTTCTTTTTTTAATCTCTAGCACTTTCTAAAATATCTAGTCATGCAGTGGGAAATAAAACTTATCTGTGTTGCCAGTTTCCTCATCAATTTGTCTGAATGTTTCCCATTCTTCAGACGTTATGGAGAACCCCACAGCCTGTAACCTCAATTTTAGAGCTGAACTCCCCTCCAATTGCCACTGAAATTTAGACTGGGGGGGGATTGGGGGGGGGGGGGGCGGCAGAGTTGCATAAAAAGCAATGAGACAATATGGTCCATGATTTTGTTTTAAGAAATCGGGCTGACTTGCCAGATGGGTTTCTACTGTTGAGAGACAATGCTCTCTCTTGTGTCTGATTTTTGGAACTCTGTGGATAGAAACCCAAAGTGCTGTGATTGAAAGTACTCTGGAACTGGTGAACCTCCCTTCCCTTTTCACTCTTTTGAAAATCTCTAGAACTGTGTTTTTGACAGTCAGTATTAAAAAAAAAAAGATGGCATCTACATGCTTGAACCAATATTTTGGGATATACTTTTGTGCAGTGCCAATCTCAAATATTATGAATGCTGTTGAGAGAGCTCAGAAGGTCTAGATGCCAATAACATCTGAGAGAGAGCATGGTTGGTAAACTACTCTTCATATTTCCCCTTTTTGTTGTGATTTCAGTGGTTAAATCTTCAGGGGAGATTTTCATAGAAATAGTCACTAAAAAAAACAGCTTCAGCAGGAGGATGACAATAAACTTTATTATATTTATGCTGTCAGCTTCCAGGAGAATACAGGACTATTTGAATAGATTATCTGATTCCATGTAAGGAATCGCTGGCCACGAGATAGGAATACCAGAGTGACAGCAGTGATGTATTCTAGGCTGGAGGCTAATCAGGAGAATAATATGTGTTTGTCCAGTTAGGTGATAGTTTTGCAAGTTAATCTGATTAGTGACAGATATAGATAGGGATTGGGCAAGGATTTGCTATCCACTGTAACAAATCAGTGTAAAAATAAATATATGACAGAATAAACACCATGAATTGGAGAAACTATTTTTTTTTCCAGAGATAAGAATGCCTTCTTTTATACAAAACTGGAGACAGTCACTCTAATGAGTGGGAGATGATTGTGATATATCAGAAACAGGGAGTTGAGTTAGTACTAATCTTTGCTCTGGTTTTTGCTTGCAAGTAGGAAGCTTTCTAAGAGGGGAACTTGGTGGTAGAATGTGAGTTGGCCTTGGTAAGTGATGCTAAGGAAGGAATTGGCAACAGAATGGGATGAGCCTCACATAATTTGGGGGTGGAAGGGGGAGCTTGAGTGAGTGAAATATAATTATGCTTTCCTAGCTGGTAATGCTGCCTTGAAGTTGCCCTCCTCCCTATATTGTAAAGATATTTTCAGTGCAGCTGGAAATGTGTTGCTAATCAACACACAAATATGAACACTATAAATACAAAACCATCAGCAGTTTTTAAGAGAAAATATAAAGGCTTTTCATCTGGAGAATATTTGTACTTGCTAATAGCTTCTGACAATGATAAACTTGTGGGTATTGTCATTTCACAAGTGAGATGTTAAAATTCTGAAGGATTTCTCCAAACACGAACCCAGGGTCTTTTTAAGGCTCCTGTCAGTGAAAAAGTCTAGCCTTGTCTGACTTGCCATCCAAACATGGACTTTTTCATTTCATTGCAGATCTTCCTTTTCTACTGCTTAGAATAGAGGATTAAAAAAAAAAAAAAAAAAAAAAAAAAAAAAAAAAAAGCAGCAATATGTCTTTCTTATAAAGATGTATTTTATAAAGGAATTGCTGTACTAGCTACAATGATGCATCTTTAATAAGCTCCTGATGCCCTACTTCATTTGTGCCAAATTCAATAGCAATTTAAGGCGGGTGTTGGAAATTAAAGTTGTCTTTCAGAGCTGCACCCTCAAGCCAGAGATGGATGCCATTTCACCTGCATGTTCTGCCAAATGATCCGTGATGTGCAGGGGCACCACCTCTGCAGAGGAACCTTGTTTTTTGCTACCTTGCTAGACTTCAATGTCACCTTGCTCCTCATGATTTACAGAAACTCATTCTGTGTTACCAAAACTGGAGGCTATTGCAGTATGTGATGTCTGAAAAGCAATTGGAGATATATGTATTCCTTTTTTTAGTGTTGTTTTCCAGACCATGTAATTTTAGGGTGAGACAAAAAAGTCTCAACATTCCCCCAAATCATCATTGAAACCACTCAAACATGTTTTTCCAAGAGATGGAGAATTAACTAGGGTTGAACTTGGCTTGAAGTATTTTTTATCTCAGTCAAAATAACTTTTGCATGTTCCCTTGTGTCAAGAATATGTGTAAGTAAAAGCAAAAAAAAAGACAGATAAGTGTACTCAGACAATGATGACACAATCTTGTTTCCTACCAGGCATGTTTCAGATATATCTTTTCTAGTTAATCTCTAATCATTAATGTCCCATCCTTTGACAATCTGGCTTTGATAGCAGCTTATATCGGTCAAGTGTTGAGGCCAGCATCTCACACTGAGCTTGTTCTCTCTGCTCCCTCTGCTCATCTCTGCTTCCTCTTCTCCTCAGATGGTGCAGTTAACACACCTCTTCCTCCTTCTGGTAGGGCTGCAGCCCTAGATCCAGGTCCAAATGGCAATCTGGGATATCATCACAGTGCCTGTAGGGAGTTGAACCAAATGGTCTTTCCTAAAACCTCTGCCAGAGCAGCCAGCCTGCCTGTTTGCCGGGTGAGCTGCTTTGTGAATGGGCTGGCTCAGAGCAGGCAGGCTGCATGTGGGTGGGGTGTGTGTGTGTGCACAGGGACATCCACTTAGGCACCTGCGAGGGGGCTTGTGTGTCCTGATCTCTGCTCATTAAGCATTTTTAATTCTGCTTCTTGCTTCAGCTAGGCTCTTGCATCATCCAGGGCCATTTTGGGGTACCTGCTTAATGCCAAGCTGCATTTTGCTTTTTTAAACTAATTTTTAATCTTTTCTGTTTGGGGAAAAAGCAAGCTGTGTTTGAGCACTACTTCACATCTCTAAAAATAAAAGTTGGCTTTCTAAGTGCACAGCATACTCCCTCTCTCTCTGCCTCTCCATCTCCCCCCACTTCCCTCTCTGGGCTTCTTTCTGCTGGAGAGACTGGGAGGGGGTCATTCTTGGCAACCACTGAAGATGGATTCTAAGTGGTGCACAAGTGCACACATAGCAATTTGGCACACAGCAGGGACTGGGGGCGGGAGGCATTTTGGATTTGTCAGCTCATCGGCACAGCTAGGTTCTTGTCAAACAGCAGAAGTTGCACAAGTCCCTGGTGGCTGAGATGCAATTGGTGAAGCTGTGCTGGTTTGGAAAAGCAAAGATGTGAGGTCACAGGATCATTTTCTCCCTCATGCTGCAGCACAGTTGACAAATTAGCTCATAATCCAGCACTACCTCCTCAACTCCCATTCCCTTTCCTGTCTTGTGTGCGCCAAATTTTATGTCAGTTCTGATATCTATTATTTGGAATAATATCTATCTTAATTTCTCTGTCTTTATATATCAGCAATTCTGTTAATTTGGATTCTATGAATGGCTAGGAAATTTTAGAGTCTTTATTGCGGTCAGCACAAGCTTGTGCCCAGGAGAGATTTTGTCAAGCCCAGGGATTTCTAAAGGGTGATGCACATACTGAGGGAGTTACACAAGCTGCTGCAAAGCAATACCCAGTACAGGGCTGAATCAGGGGTCGTTTTTGCCAATATTGCTGCTGCCACTGATGTGCTATTGATGGCCTGTCAAGAAGTATATAAAAATTGAAAGTGTATTATGTTCCTGGTCTAGGAGCTGAATATAGTCTGCATAGCATGACACAGTTTTCCTTTGATGAGATGCCTCACACTTTTCTAAACTCATTTTCTGAGTTAAATTATTTTTTCACTGTATTTTTGCATGACTCAGAGATGCCTTTTCTATTTGTGCTTGCAAGCAAAAAGCATTGGAGCTTTTTACGTCTGTGCAGTTTGGGAGATGTGCTTTCATCTGCAGGAAAATACAGTGTAGTTTTGGATATGATTGACTTCCTTCCATTACTCTGTCAGTTGCTGCAGTTCATGGTATCAGAATTTCTTTAAGGTATCTCAGTGACACGTCCATGTAACTGTGTGGATGAAGTTCCTGCCTTGACCTTTACTGCTGTAGATGTTGAGTCCTAATGAAGGGAGTAGGAGGATGCTGACAGATGCCTGCTTTTGTGTGTTCACAGTCCTACCCCTGGTGCAGCACTGCATTCTGATATGGTGAGGGGCTGCTTCTCTGTGAGTAGGTGCAACAAAGTCCTCAGAAGTTATTTTGTAAAAAAATTAAACCAATCTGTCACATAAGGCTTGGCCTGGAATTAATCTTGGAGTAACCTGATGATCAATCCACCCTTCCCCAGTGTGGTAGATACTGCAGAATTAAAGACTTCAGTAGGAATGGAGCTAGGATGTTCTGGAAATCCCACTTAGGAGCAGTGCAGAGGAGCTGCTGCTCAGCCTTATCTCCTACAACACAGCCCTGCACATCACAGACTATTCTGCATACTGGATGTGTATTGCTATTTTTCAGATAAACTGATACACTTAAAAAACTGAAACAGAACAAAAATTTAATGATTATTAGTAACCAAAGATAAGAGTAGGTCCAGATCCATGTGCATCAAAACATTCAAATTTTTGTTTGGGTAATGAAAGGGTGGTTGACAGAGTTCAAAAATAAGCCTCTAGTCTAGTGATCAAGGCATTCTGCCAAGTTAAAGTCCTGTTGCAGAAATATGTGAATATTCCCTTGTATATACAGACTAGCTGGAAACTTGCATATTGCTTTTACCTTATAAGAATTTATTCTACCTATTCAACTAAAATAGCAATGGTTTTAAATTTCAGATATCTCCCTTAGAGTGCTTTGTAGCTTAAGATGGGGTGGGTAGTTTCTTGTAGACAGGGAAGGGGACATAATTTATTTATTTTGTATGCCCTGTCACAGCTCTAACCAGCAGGTGTTTTGGAAAAAGAAAAAAGCTATGACTTTGATTGGCCTAATCTTCAATATAACTTATAAATTAAGCTCTTCAGTTTTCCTGTGACAAAGTACAAATGAATTAAATCAATAGCAGATATTTGGAACAGTTGTATTGAAAATAAGAGGCATCTCCACAGCAAGGCATCAGCCAAGTGTTTCTTTTGAACATCCAACTCTTGTGGACGTAATTGTATCTATTTTTTGTCCTTTACTACCCCTGGGAGTACATTTAAAAATACAGGGGTTGGAGGGGCTGGAATAAAAAATCCTTTTCTTCTCGTTATTGTAATTTTGATTCTTCTGATAATGCATAGCAAGCTAGGTCAACAACATCATGGGAAACCATACACTCCCTAGAAGTTCTATGATACTATAAAAAACAAAATCTACATATACATGAGAAAACTCGACAGTAGGGTAAAATCTCTTGTGAGGGAATTGCGTGCAGGCACATCCAGCTCTAACACCAGCCTCCTGCCAGCACCTGAACAGCTTGTTTTGTGTTCTAAGGGCTTGCACAATATTGAGTGATGACACCAGCTGTGCTCAGGTTCTTGAATTACAGCTCGAAGGATGGTGGCCATCAGGGGACACACTGGGGCTGCAGGAATGATTGGCTTGATGCTAGACTGAAAAGCAGAGGGTTGGGAGCTGAGGCTGAGAAATAAATAAATAGTTTCCTGAGTCTCTCTAGTTTTTACTGTAAATCTCTTGGAGAATAAGGCTTTGCAAATCGAGTTTTTGTTCTGATATACTTACCTTCTAGTGGTATGTGCTGGCAGGTTGTCCCGTATGCAATAGAAGCTTGAAAGAAAAAATCACATCCCAGTGCTCTCAGAGGTGAGATAGTCTCCTACCTGAACTCAAGCATTGCAACTAGATTTGGTTTTCTTTTAGCTTGAATTATTTGTCATGAGTATTCTGGCTGAGGACGCGCATTTCCTGAAATGGATATACAACACATGCCTCAGCCACAAAGATTCCTCACTCAACCAATGTCTGGTGCATTCCTCTTTTAAGGAAAGCTGTAATTTTCTTCCATAGTAAGCTTAATGCCTTTGACAGAAACTGAACAAAGCTAAGACCAATTTAAGTAATTTGTTTATATAAGTGGCTGCACATAGTCACTTAACAGCTTGTGTCAGATAAAGACAAAGCAGACTTCCCATGTTCCAGTTTGGCATGCATTATAAGGACTGGGAGACGTGGATCTGAATCCACATTCCTTAAGAGAAAGATTCCTTTCTCTAGCAGGCTGAATTATGTAGCTTTCATCACCTGACATCTTTTCTCTGAAAGGCTGTAAAATACCATGAAAAATTTTCAAATCTAGCAATAATGCTATTTGAAAGACGTAAATGTAAATTTTACTTTTAATTTTTTTTAAGATTTAGCTTAAATTGAAATATATTTAAACTGAACTACTTGAATGATTAGTTAGAGAATGAAGAGACACTATTTGGCTATTGCAGTCTGTCAAGCCCATCTCAATTTGGTCAGCTAGCAGGGAACAAAACAGCTAGCAGGGAAGGAGGACCCTGCCTAGTTCTTGGCCAGGTTTATATATTACTATCACATGAGAGAGTTGGCTGTGGAAATTAATCAAGTTTATTTTCTCCAGGGATCAAAGAGGTTACTCAGAGGATGCAGGAAAAATGTAGGGATTCAGCTGTGTCACATTTTCTCTCTAATTGAGCTGTCTAGGGAGCCTCCCACGTTTTGCAGAAGTGGAAACATCCACTTTGATTTTATCTTTCTCAGCAGCAGCTCTCTTCTTTGGAAGCCAAGGTCACACTGCATTTACTTTTGGTGTTTGTCCCTTTAATTCTCCTACGGTTTCGTACATGTAAATGCTTCTGGTGTATTTTTAAATTTTAGCTTATAATCACTTTTTTTTTTAAGGCACCATCTGGTCCCTGATATAGTTTAAAATAACAATCTAGCCAGGACACAACCAACAGAAGGACTTTACACCTTTCACAACCCAGTATGAGAGCTTCCTCACATATATTTCTGCACAGAGACTGTCACCATCAGATCCTGTTCCCTCCAGACAGCTCTTGCAGAAGGCAAGGTCTTACAGTCTTACTTTCCATCCATTCCATCTTGAACATAGTCATTTTATGGAACAAAATGGATGCACTAGAGAAGCTTATGGCTAGGAATGTGGGAGGTCTGCTATGAACAGCTCAGAGAATTTGTCTTTGGAGCTCACGTTTGCATTTAAGCTGCCCTCTGGTGCTTACCATTTCTGCAGTGCATGCCTTCATCGTGTCCCCTGGTGCCTGGAGACATCTGCAATACCCAGGGAGAAGAGGGAATTAAGCATTGCAAAAAATCCTGAAAAAAAACAAAACAAAACAAAAAATTAAAAAGAAAAAAGTGTCCCCAGTCTGTGGCTGTTTTATTTTAAGCAGGGCATTAACATGCTGTGTTATGATTGCAGGTTATGCTGGGCAGGAAGGTTTTTTTTGATTTTGATTTTTATGAGTCACAGCATAATTTATTTTATCTTCATGCTGTGTGCAACAGCACTGTCTGTCATGGTGCTTTCCCACTAGCCACAAATCACAGCATGCCACTAAGCAAAGCGATCGTGTGACTGTCACCCTCAGCACAGCTGAGCCTCAGCCTGGTGTTGCCCCTCTGGCTGCTGGAGGACCCGAGGTTAGCAGAGACAATAAGTACCAGTGTACCTTTTCCTACTTACAGCCAGCAATTCTGAAAGGACCTAAACCACTGCTGGAGGTAAAAGCAGGCTAATGAAACGAACGGGAAAGGACTGTGAACAATTCTGGGACTTCCGTGTAGGTTATCTGTCCGGCAGGATATTCACTGCTCTTTTTGGTTTGTTTTCCTGTTAACTAAAGGCAAAGCTGGGCAATTCTCTGGCTGCAGGTTGCTCCGTGCCCGGATGGCGCTGCTGTCCCCGCTGTGGTTAATATTAGCCGCGCCGCTGATTGTCCCGCTCCGTGCCCTGCAACAGGTGCGGCACGGCCGCCGCGCTGGAATCCCGCCCGCACCCGTGCCGCTGCTGGCACAAGCCTTCCCATTATATCAGGAAGGGCCATGTCCCGTCGCCACCATGCCCCGGCACCCCAGGCTGGCCCCAGCTGTCTGCGGGACGCGGAGCAGGGCGGCGAGCACCCGGGGAGGCTGCTCGGGGAGAAGCGCGCCGTGATTCCTCCAGAGCGGGAAGCCGGGAGGTTCCTGCGTGGCATTTAGAGCTGTGGGGTAAGGAGAAGTTCCCGCAGAGCCCCAGGCCCGTGGTTTTGTGGCGTTGCTCTTAGAGGAGGGAAACGCAAACAAATAAGTACTGAAAACTAAGTATCAGCACTCTGAAATGAGCAAGTACGGTTGCTTTTGCTCATCATGTTGGCCGTAGTTTCTTTACAGCACAGTACTTTGGGTTTGCATGAATTTTAATTGGCACTCTCTAATTTTAGAATGCTCCTGTGAAAAGTTACTTTCAATTCCAGTGGTGATTAGATGGTGATGACGTGTTTTAATAATAAACATGGGACAGATACTGAAAAAGAAATCAAATGTGCTGGCTGCACTTTTGGGGAGGGGAAGAAGTGCTGTTGCTGTCCTCTAAAATTATCTGATCTGTCTGCTCTGGCATGATATCTTAAGGTCTCCCATCTCTTTTTTTAAAATTTTTCTATTTTTTTTTTTCTTTCTTACCTCCTTTTTATTTTCTTTAATTTTCTTAAACCGTCTTTTGGTAAGAACAAAATATCTAGGTGATGTTTACATAGCCTAAACGTTAGAGAGAGGAAGAGGTAGCCAAAAGACTTGTAAGGTTTTACAGGATCCCTTCTAGCGTCCTGTTCCCTTAATGTGACCCCTCTCTGTTGACTGTGTGAAGAAAGGCGGGGCTGTCAGGCAGGTCAGAAGGGATCTGTGTGCCACAGTGTGACTTGTGTGTGCTGGTGCTGTGCCTACATGCATGCTCAGGGACGGAGCCAGGCAGGCTTGCTTAGGAACTCGAGCAGGCTCTGGCTGCAGTGTGGCAGTCTGCTGTGTACTGGAAAACAGATAACTGCTGCTGCTTCTAAATTAAGAAAAAAAGCAAAAATAAAAGAGGGGCTCCTCTCTAAATTCAGCGATTTCTGCTCTGAATTGGTCACAACCCGGGGCAGTAGGTCAGCCTGAAGTAATGCTCCTGGAGAGTTAGATTGATGAAAGGGACTGAAATCAATGGGAACCTCTCCCTTAACTATGGTAGGTTTTGGGTCAGCACAGTCCTCACTATTTCTATTTCTAACTATGTGTCAACTTTTTTGGGAGTTGTGGAATAAATAAGCTCTGGGCCAAGTAAGTACAATAGGGACTGATGAAAAAGGTCCAATTTCATAAGTGTCAGGTGTTTTTATGCATAGTCTAGGTTTAAGCTTTTTCCAGGAGAGGTTTTTGATTGAAGCTATTAAAACTGGACATTGTTTTGACATGAAAGCGAGAAAATGCCTTTTCTCAGTGCTGCATGTGTGGTTGTGCCTCAAAGCGGAGGCTCTTTGCTGTGGGAACCATAATTCCTAGGGGACTGTGAGATCCTTCCTGGGCCAGTGCCTCTGGCTGAGGACACTGCAACTGTGACACTGCCACTGTCCTGCAGCTCCTGACCTCTGCACAGGCAGAACTGTGCCAGGGGTCTGACGTGGTTGTTTGGCAATGAGGACACTATGTAAGCTATGACAATCCTGCACATCTCTCAGTGCTTTGACTCGTGCTTCCAGCAAAACCTTTCTCCAGCTCCTTCTCTATCTCCCACTACCCACACACACTGGTTTCTCTTCCTCTTATTTTGATACGTGAAGCAGAATTTGCAGCTCCTCAAAGCAGTCCTTTAGCCATGACAGCAGGAGCTCCCACAGTGATGGGCCAGCTTGGTGTGCTGAAGGGACATGTGCCAAGGCACAGGAAGGTACATGACTATCTCCCTTTGAAAGGCATTTGATTTGTGACTTTGAAAGTGCCTCTATAGGCAGCTCACAGAGAAGCCATTTGCAAATTTGATGCCATTTTAACTGCAAGATGAAAGTGGATTTTGCTGCCACTAAAATCGGCAGCTCCAAGTCCCTCAGGAGAGGTGCAGCAATCTGTGTCACTGGAGAGCCAGATCTGTCGCCTTGCTAAAGATCTTGTATCCAGGTAGGAAAGCATAAATGGACATGTGGATCTCCACCAGTGCTGGGTACAACACAGCACATTACTAAAAATGTTATTTGTTTTTTAACCATTATGATAAAATACTCAGAGTTACAAAAGTTTGAGAAGAATAAAACGTTTATCCCACTTTGTACACAAATTGGTGATCTTGGAGAAAAGTTAGAGGGCATATGCAAGTAAATTTGACAATTAATCTTTTATAACCAAGGAGGTCATGCAGTCATTACAGTATCTAGGAATTGTTTATATTTTTTTATTAAAATTATGCTTAATTTTCAAAGGAAAATTATATTATATATTTATGGGCTCCTGTATTATATTATGTAGTATTGTATCATGACTTACCCTCCCATCATACACTAAATTCGTGGAAATTTAGCTTGTAATTTCTCTGCAACATATTACAAGAAAACCCAGTTACATTTAGAAGCATTGTGAGAATCCTCTCTTGTACTGTAGACACATTACCTGGTCAGATTTATTTTAATTTTCTGTTAAGGAAATAGAAGAATATACTCTAGTGACATGCAATTCTAGGTAGCAAGAAAAACAATCCCTTTTACTTTTTCAACTATTACAAACATCTGCCTTTTCCTATGCCCTAGGAATGTATACACATAAATGCATTTGAGAATATAGTTTCTATAATATAAAGAATCTGTGCTAAATACTCAAAAATTGACCTTTTTAAGGTCCTTACAGCACTGTTGGTGACGATGATAGCCAAGCATGCAAGCAAGGTATCCCTTGGTATTAGACTGGCAATCTTGCTCTTCTGTGAATTTATAAAGGAACACTTTCTTCTAGCACAGAAAATTATGTGCTAATGATGGCCTGTTCCCTCCTCACTGAGGTCTAGAGACAAAGAGCAAGGGAGAAAGGATGTTTGGCAGAGTAAGACTGGGACAATTTCTAGTAGATGATGCTCTCCAGAGCAAAGGCAATATGCAAACAGGTTTGCCTACAGCTGTAATTATGTATTATTGAGAAAATCTCACCTCCTAAAAATCAAAAGAGAAAAGGGAAATTACTGGAAATACAGAAAAAGGATGCATGAACAATCTTACTGGAGGCTGCAGGGGTATATCAGTGGAACTACATGACCCATCTCTTGGGGGTTCTGAGGAGGACATACCCCCATGGAGCCGAGTCTGATGCTGTCCTGTTAATTCCTGACTTGTTATTGACAAACTCCACTAGAAAACTGGGGTAATGTTAACAAGTTCTCACCAATCGTGACTGGTGATTGATCTAAACGATTACATTTAGATGTCTTTGTCTTGAATCTAGATCTGTCTCAGATCTATCAAATTATGGTTTTCCCCTGTTAGTTTTCTGGCAAGTTCAACCCCTTCTCCCATGTTGCTTTGATGGGAACTGCATCCTTATTTACCCCTTCATCTCTTCCCTGTAGCAATTGAGAAAGGTTGGGTGAAAATCTGTATATTTCTAGGCTAAAGACATCCATATATGTGTATGCAGGAGAGAGCAGGCAGGCAGCACGGAGAAGGAAACCTCCATCCATTTCTCCTTCAAAGAAGAAGGAGTTGTTCATGAAGCAGGCAGGCAGGTTGGCTTCTCCTATATTAGGAGGAGGTTATAGGAGAAGCTCATAAACAAGGTGCCCACTCAATCCCTATCAACATGCTGGCTGCTCCAGGCAGGTCAAGTGTTAATGGAAGAATGACAAAATGGAAAACAGCAGCAGCCCAAGCCCCTGGCCCCTGCAATGGTGGATCCCTGCACAGTGCAAAGGCTCAGAGCAGGAGCAGGGCAGGTGACTACCAGTGATGGATGATGTTGAGACCTCAGAGAGAAATGATATAATAAATGGTTGGTCTGACACAGTAGGAAATGTTTGCATAGTGAAGTGACGGGTAATAAATAAGATTATGTTGCTATAGGTCCTACAGGCGATGCTGGAGCAAAAACAGCATCTGATTTTCTTTCTCTAGGGAAAAAAAGGTACAGAGGCAAGGACTCTCATTTGTAATAGCCAGGCATGAATAAAAACGTGTTTGCTGCATACAGTCGGTGTAATCTAAGGCTGATGCAAATCCAAGTCAAGTATTGCTGTAGCTGTAGGTTCTCAGTTGTCATAGTTAAGGTTGCAGAACAACTTCCCTCAAGCTTGTCTAATGTCACTGTCTGGAGCTGAGGCCCCACTACTGTATCCATGGTTAAAACATCGTCTTTTCTTGCACTTGTTATCAGGGCTGCCACTAAGACTGGAACAATCAGACAGTTTGCCCTAGGCATTGATTCATTATATGTGATACATGATAATACGTAGAGGGATACAGACTGAAATCCAAGTGATATGGTTTATTATTTATAATAGCTTTTTCTCTGGGGAGGTTGTTGTTTGGGTTTTGTTTGTTTGGTTGGCAGGTTTTTTGGTACAAATTTTCCTCTCTTGTTCATTTTTATT